TATATATATATACACGTTGATTCGTCGAACGCGACAGATGGCCATTTTTCGTATACGATGGAAGCGAAAAATGGAAAATCCATTGGAATTCCAGTCGATCGGTATTCCCCACCGCCAACGACACTGTCTTTTCCATCTGACCTGCTTGTCAGACTCGCTACACTCCCCCTGCAACCCTTTTCTCAGCTGTTGTCCCGGTTGTCCGGTTGTTCATCGGCCGAGTTGCGCGATCAATCGGCGCACGGACAATCGTATCATTTAATTATCTCTCTACCAAATTCCATCTCTTTTACTTTCTCTCTCCAACCATACACACACACACGCACACACGCACACACGTTACGTTCGTATTACGAGAAGGACTTTTACAGCATGAGTGTCCATGTCCATTTAAATCTTCATTTTGGCCAACTGGGAAACTTGATCAAGAGTGCGTAGTTTACGTTTTTTTTTCTTTTTTTTTTTTTTATCACCTCGAGATCATTGACGTTGAAGCAAAATTTACAATGAAACGATTGCGTTGATCAGAAGAATCATGTATGTATACTTGTATCAATTGACATTTATTTTGAACGAAGAAACATGGTAAACACACTTGCTGCAAGATTGAGCCGAATTGCAACGAAATGAGAAATTTGCTTTTCTTTGAAAGATTTTCAATTTTATTGGTTTCATTCCAAAACGTGCTAGAATCACAAATATATATATATATGTATATATATAGATTTTTTTTTTTTTTTACCTAAATTTTGCAATAAATAGTGATGACGTAAAAACTCTCAAGAGATCGAGAAAATTGGGAAATTTACAGCGAGGCTGGTTTTTCAAACCAGTTCAATCAATATCTGGTTTGACACGGAAGCAGCGACGATACGGACGAGTATCCGTTTCCAAGATGCTGGCGTCCTAGAAATTTCTCTTGCTAGTTGATCTTTCGCGTGCCTCGTAGCACGGTGGAAGAAGAAATCTGCTGCCAAATGAAACGGGCGATCGCTACAATTCTCATTCAATCGTTCCAACGCGCACACCTGTCCTCTTCTACAGTAGGTGCCGTAGAAACGTGAAACGACGAGAGAGAGAGAGAGAGAAGAAATCATTCGTCGACGACAATTGGAATCTCTCGAGATTGGTGAATTGGCCGGTTGCGTGAACGCGTGTGCAAGCGAGACGAAGCGAGACGAGGCGACGGCCGCGCGCATTCTCCTGCGTCGAGGGTGCTCGATGGAATTAGGTTAATACGGGGTGGAAACGTGCCAGACCTACTTGCAAAGCCTCTCGAGAACTCGGCACGCCCGGGAGATATACGCGACGCTCGAATTCGATCGAATGGCGCGCGCCTTTTCCGTCCCAGAAACATTTCCTCTTTGTACTCTCTCTCTCTCTCTCTCTCTCTCTCTCTCTCTCTC